GGCAAAGTGAATGACGACAGTTGAAAATTTGCTGTAATAAATTAAGTTTAGTGAATATATTTTTATATCAGCGAATGAAACGAAATTATGACATAATGAGCTTGCAGATCACCAGGGTAACATGTTTAGACTTTGAAATATTATCTCGGGGAAATTTACTTGGCGATGCCCATCTCCTCTGCAAGTAATATGCAATAGATTATCTTCTTTAATCTGACTTGAACTCTTTGAAAATGTGAGTTCATGTTTGTCCCAAGAACATCAGTGCGTGGCTCCCCACAACGTCCTGTCTTTTTCACCCTTTACCATCCCTCTTTGTCCTTGTTTTTCTGTTCATTCACAAAAGCTCGTTGTGGGTTTCCGTTTCCTGCTACTTCTGTTGCCGTCAGTGTGTCCCGTAAGTGTTAGATTCTCTGGGTCCTCTTTCCTCACTATTTGTACCAAAAAAATAGCTTTTTCTGGTAGCAAGCATAAGTTGCCTTACAGTTTTTATTTTCCTTAAACTTGAAACTTGCATTTGGTATGTCGATTCTGTTTTCTAATCTGTTAAAATTTAAGCAAGCACTGTTCCGCCATATCACTGAATATTTATAGAGTAAATTCTGTCTGATATATTCGAGAGGCATGAGGCACCTCCTTGTGGTGTAATGGTTAGCAAGCTTGTCTCGCTAGAACAATTACAACAGAGTAGTGAGTTCGATCCTCACTAGATGCACCATACTTTCGGCCTTGTGCCGCATATGAGCTACGCTTGGGAAATTGCTATATTCGAGAGACATGCTCCAAATCCGCAATAACAATTAAAATTGTATAATAGAATTCAGCAATCTGAATTGGATAATTTTTTTTACAAATCAAATCAGTATTCTATTTTTTATATATTGTGTATGTTTACAATGTACAAAAGTCTCAAATTATTGAGTTCTACCTCGACAGGCGAATAAATAAGACTTCCAAGATATTAATTACATAATTTACTGAAGAATGAACTCCCTCAAGTACACAAATCATGCAAAATGGCGATGTTGGCCGAGAAGAAAGAAAGAAAGTTGTTCCTAACTGCGCACGCGCAGAAAAAGTTAATGTCGCGCATACGTAATGCTGATGAAATCTGGAAACGATGGGCGGATTTTAGACGCCGACCAGACTTTCTTATTATTTAATCAATTTTATTTTATTTTATAGAAATCAGCACAACATCATAATTTAAAACTTGAAGATTAAGAAGGTATATATGCGTAGTTCGGATTTATGTCGTCAACAAATGAATATAAGCACATCGACTTTCTAAACGTAACTTAGATGTGGCACAAGGTCGAAAGTATGGGACACTCGGTGGGGATTGAACTCACATTCCTATTTTAGCGGGACAAACTTGCTAACCGTTACATCACGCCGAGGTACCCCAAACGAATGTAAGTATATGGACATTTTCAGATGAGTCAGAGATAAACGTTGAGATAGACAAATCACATATGTACTTGATGCCCTATATTGGCGTATCAAAATCGCTGCTCACATAAAAACGCAAATATACCATTCAATGACAAACATAATAAAAGTTTTCATGTCTGTGCAGTGCGATGTGCAAGCTTCTCGTAAATAAGAGTATTTTCTCAACGGAGTAATTTAAAATATAAGTAGATGGAATTTAGAGAAGAAGAATTTCTCAGGTGTAAAGATTACAATAGAGGGGGGGGATTGTGTAATTGGAAGGGACCCTGAAAGCAACTGCTCCACATAAATGTAATTTAAGAAAGACTGGGATCAAATGATTCAGTTACGTGACATGCGTGATACACGCTTAGTCGATCATGTATAATTCGATACATGTCTGCCGACGCAGATTTTTTCCAGCATTAGTTTGCCGTTTCTTTCTGCGGTAGATCAGTTTCCATCCAAGGCTATAGAACCCCATAGCTTTGGGGGGGGAGAAGAAGTAGACTCATACCTTTCCCAAGGGTATTAACACGTAACTGAATGTAATGGATTCGAACTCGGTTCTCCAATCCATTACTCCACTGTGCCTGCATCTTTCTTTATTTATATATATATATATATATATATATATATATATATATATATATATATATATATATATATATATATATATAGTGCTGTTCGATAAAAGTGAAGGAGGATTTGATAATTATATTTATGTAATTCATCGAGTCTGAAAGAAACCTCAACAAAATGCAGAAAGCACTGGGACGGCCGTTTCGTCCTATATTTGGGACTAATCAGCAGTGCGCATCCACTACCGAGAATTGAAACCCGGACAGGTTGTCAAGCAAACATCATACCAAATGTTCCACCGGGCCTCAGCGACGAAGAGATTGCAAATCAGACTCAATATAGCGCCGCTCGCTCACATATTCCGTGTTGGAACTCAATTGAAATTCTCTCTAACCATAGGACTGTGACCTCTGGGAGCCACGACTACTATCACCAAGCCGCTCACTCCTAGAGCATTAGAAGCCGGTTCAAGCAATGATATACACACACACACACACACACACACACACACACATATATATATATATATATATATATATATATATACACACACACACACATATATATATATATATATATATATATATATATATATATATATATATATATATCTCTCCCGAGGGTCAAGCAGATCAGTTTCCAGGAAACCGACAGCCCAACACCGGCACATGAGATTTGATTATAGTGGTGAAGGCTTCGTGCAGGACCATATATATATATATATATATATATATATATATATGTTGCGATGGGTAAATTATTGCCCTTTTATATTTTAATTTCGTGCGTTGTTTGTCTTCGATTTTTGCCGACTGCACAGTATAGTTGGGCCATTTGTGCTCCGTCTGTGAGAAATAAAAGACTACCATGAGGCAAATCTTTCCTCCAGAAATTTTGAAATGGCATGCTGTACTGCTTGACATTTGCGCCTGAAGTTCCAATACGAACATTTCAGAGTCTTTGGGTATCAATCTTAGGAGAGTACAGTGGATTCATAAAGAGTTGGAGGAGTGATAGTGATTACGAAGGTACGACAGCTCGGAAAACTCACTCTGATCGTTCTGACAAGAAAAAAGTCCCGAATTTTTTGTTGAGGGTCTCAGACTCAACACGGAGGCCTACAGCAAGTGCCTTGTGGAGGTAGTGGTGCTCTGGGTCAAGTGGGTGGCTGCTGCGTGACCTCGCAACAGAACTCTGTACCAATCCACACAAGCAAGAGAATTCTGACAGACATGACTGAGTTCTCTTGACAATTTCTGCGAACACATCATTCCTTACATCTGGCTACCAACTCCCCTAGGTTATTATGTGTAGGGCGCAAGAGATAAAAAAGACACCTTGAAACTCCGAAGATGAACTTAGGACAATGATTATGGCAACATACACCAACTTAAACAAGGAGACCGTCCACAATAGTTTCAGGAGATTCCTAAGTTGCTTGGGGGCCGTGTTTGAAGCCAATGGCGATTTTATTGAATAAATTCACTCTTTAGTATTTCAAAATATTTTTGTCTAATATTGGTAAATATATCTATTAAAATGAGATATCAGTGTTATTTTCATTTTTGCTTAATCTAGACGAAAATTTATCCATCGTACCATGTTTATATACACATAACATACGCACATACATATGTGTGTGTGTGTGTGAGTGTGTGTGAATAAAAATAGACAAGAGTAAAAACTATACTTCGCCGACACATTTCGTCCTCTGAGGGACTTTATTAAGTCAATATGATTGCTTTGATAAAAAGTTCCCCAGAAGATGAAACGCGTCGGTTAAGTATAGTTTTTTCTCTTATCTCTTTTTATTGAATTTTGACTCCTCTACAGATAAATTCTATCTGAGAATAATTTGTATGCATCAAGAACAATATTCGCGAAAAATGTATGAAAAAGTGGGAAAAAAAAGTCTTCATGTGACGGTTTGGACCTTTAAGACTTCATTATAGACAAAATTTGTTACATTGGTGCGACTACACATGCGCACGAACGAGGGATTATGGGATTTAAATTTTTTATACATTTATATAATCTAGCCGTTTAGATTATGTTTTTCTTTTTGATTACATCACTCTTGTTATTAAATATCCCACACTGTGATAATAGAAGATCTGCCAGGAATGGTGAAAAAATGTTGTAAAAGCCAGGACGCAAATTTACCGTGGATCATTGCACTCTATAAACGTTGTAGTGAATTGTTTCTTTCTTTGAACAGAATAGCATATTTGTCAAAATTGTAGTAAGTCTCTTATGATGGGAAACTAATGCATTCGATGTAGTGTTTTGTAAAATGTCCCTATATATATATATATATATATATATATATATATATAGGATAAAGTACAAATAAGAAACGTTTCCTTATCCTATCTTTCTATCGGATTCCAATCAATACTTTATCTATATTTGATCCATATATATATATATATATGTGTGTGTGTGTGTGTGTGTGTGTGTGTGTGTGTGTGTGTGTGTGTGTGTGTGTAATGTTATATATATATATATATATATATATATATATATATATATATATATATATATATATATATAAAAATGAATCCTGAAAAAGAAAAAAGAGCCAGGAACAACCTACCTGTGGTTTCTCCTAAACGGATCTTCAGGGTAACCTGTCTCTACTTAGCGTATTGAGTACTTTACGTTTTAGCTTTATTACTCCCTTGGGGTTTTTATTTGGGCTAAAAATTAAGGGACTGGACGATTTGTTTCACCCTGATTGGATTTTCTAGTTCTTTCTTCTTTTACCATTTTTTCCTCAGGTACCAATTTGTTTTGCTATACTTGCAAATTGTGCTATCCAATGTTTTTTACCAACCGAGTATTATTATTATTATGTATGTCTGTATGAGTGTGTGTTCGCACGTGCGTGTGTGTGTGTGTGTGTGTTAGCGCGCACATGTACTTACCTTATATTTTAGCACAATACCACGAGTGGAAGGTGAATATCGAACTCATTTCCCATTCTAGACTAACTTGCTGATCATTACCCACCGCAAGGGGATAGATAGATAGATAGATAGATAGATAGATAGATAGATAGATAGATCTATCTGTTACTATTCGCTCATATTTATCACTTATCTCTTCTTATACGTCACACTTTTCTTTTTTCATTCTCTCTTTCTTTCTTTCTCTCTCTCTCTCTCTCTCTCTCTCTTTCTCTATTTCTCTTCCTCTCTTCCTCTCTCTTTCTTACCATCTAAATTTATATAATTTGTATGCAGTTAAAGAGGAATGTTTAGTCAATTTCACTGTTTATTCATTAGGAGATTTTCACTTTTTTTAAGTGTCAAATTTCGACTTGGCCTTTTCAGATAATCAAACCGCTGTCAAATTCTTGTTTCTCACATACAACTGAACAAGTAAACAAACGAATTAGCAAGAGAAAAACAAAACGAGAAAAAAAACAACCTTATGCAAACATTCCGTAATAACCATAACTACGCTAACAAAATACACAAAAGCACAAGCATTAAATCAAGCATTCACTCTTTTTGAATTCCTTTCACTTTTCTTGATGTATAAACGGGTGTTTGACATCTGTCAGAGTTGAACGCCTTTGCAATGCATAACCTATGCTTCTGTGTCGGAATGAGTGGAACACCTGTAGACTTCTTATCGTTTACTCAGAAGTCATTTGTGTCATAGACATTTTAAAGACTAAAAATTCCACTCAAAAACTGCGAGGAAGCAGCTTTAAAAACACGTACAACTCGGCTTAAAAATAGGTGATGAGATTTAAATAACAATGGTAATTTTAATACCTTTTGGAATGTGCAGTTCACAATACCTCCACCAGTTGTTTTTTATTGAAAAATATTAGTTTGATTACACTGTGGCACCTTGCATTATTAGAAATATTCATAGAAATATGATTTAATTTTTTCTTACTCGGTTTACTAAACAGGTTGTTGATTTTTTTTAAAACGGAAAATAATTGAGTTGAAAATAATTCACTAAGATTGTACTTAGACGATCCTAAGGGAAGAAGAGGAAGAAAAAGAGAAAAAGCAAAAGAGAGAGGTCGAGAAATACAAAAAGCGGTCATTAACAAAAACACGAGTCAGAAAGATATCTTGGCCTGCGTGTGGCCGAATTTTTAAAAGACAATTGGAAGAATAGAATTAGAAATAATAAGAAGAAAGAAAGGAAAAGACATGATATCAAAACGGGCCGCTTGATGAAAACCAGATATCGGTCAAAACATCTGACCTACTTTTGCGTAGAAAGACTCATTATCAATTTGGAGTAAAAGGAAATTTTTTTAGAACAATAGAAACGAAATCTTAATCAGAGAAAAGGTGTTTTTTTTGGGTTGAGGGGAGTGACCGGTGGAACTATATAGATCCTGACCTATTAAGAATTAGAAACCTACGATAATAAAGTGGGAACATTTTCAATGTAGATAATTAAGATTTTCTGACTGTCGGGTCTGACAAAGACGGGAGGTGAAGGGACGATTGTCTCAGTTCACAGATAGCGCCAATATTCTTCCCCTGAAGTCACATCTAATTAGCGGCGGGCTGTTTGACAGAGCCCAGGTGAGAGAAAGCCAAGATTGTCATTTTTCGTACGTGCAGAAAAGGCAAAATTGGATTTTGTTTTTTAAAAAACAAGAACGATGTAACCCCGCCCGAAAGGAGGAGAAAAGGATGCTCGATCAATAACAATTGGTCGGAAACGGTCACGTGATCTGCAGAAAAGAAGAGAAAGAAATGCCCGATCAGGAACCATTGGTCGAAAAACGGTCACCTGACATACGAGAGACTAAGAGATGGTGCACCTCCCCACAAAGGGCACTGTGAGGAAGTAGGGGTGAAAACAATAGCGATAATGGGAAATCAAAAATAATGCGACTTTTGAAGTTATCGAGAAAACCCTGACGCCGACAGACCCACCCCAGTTTGTTGCGGCGTCAATAAAAGCAGGACCCCAGTCGACAGAAATCAGTTGGAGTGGAGTTGCAGCTGGACCGCGGGCAGGGATAGAGCCTGAACGCGGGCATCGGGCCCGATTCACTCGCCCCTTTGCGGGCAAGAGAATCCTCAGACAAGAAATCCCTTCCACCCAAGTCGAAGACAAGAGAACTTCCAGCCCAAGCAGACGAAGAAGGAGATTGCTCGAAGGACGCCGAGAGTTGTGGCAGAGTTACGGCAGAGTTCAGCCCCGGACGGCAGCGAGAAGAGATCACCTCGGACGACAGAGAGTTGTGGCAGAGTTACGGCAGAGTTCAGCCCCGGACGGCAGCGAGAAGAGATCACCTCGGACGACAGAGAGTTGCGGCTGAGTTGCGGCAAGAGATCCTTCCAGCCCAAGTCGAAGACAAAAGAACTTCCAGCCTAAGTCGACGAAGAAGAAGAAATACAACTCAAGTCGAAGAGAAGAATCAACTGCGAATGATCGATAGAAATTAGCCCCAGTGTCGAACCAAACCACACTCCGACATACACAATTCTAAAGAGTAGGCAATTCGAAATCTTTAGGTTGTGTGATAGAAGCTTGGTGCCATAGTCCACAGAGCGGGTCGGGAAATGAGAACAATTTTGTTTTTATGTAGCGGACATTAAGATATAAAAGGTTGTTACCCTTTTTTTTTTCATCAGCAATCTTTTTGTCTCGTGAGTTTTTTTTTTTTTTTTTTTTTTACTTGTGTTTTGCCACCCCCGTCGGACTCAACTTGTATCGGCCCCAATCCCTGCTGGTCCCGTCTGTCTAAGATCTAAACACAGCGTGGGTAGACAGACCGGAGATCAGTACAGTTGCTTCAGTAACCAGGTATTGGAAGCGAGTTGGGAAAGGCGAGGCTGGTGATCATCCAACCAAGGGGTTGGAGCGGCACGCTTGGAACCAGGAGGAGCGACCAGGAGGAGCGACGTCACAGTTGGCGCCGTAACCAAGGGATTCGACCCTGTGCCAGGTGTGTAACCGTCACAACACACTTGAGAAATAATTTTCAAATAACAACTCCTGGAAACTTTTGCACACGCCTAATAATTATTTCCTGGGTATCTCATTGGATACACTGCCATACAGATATTGTTATATATAATTAGGTACCTCCAAAGAGGCTCGCTACCTCGGTGCAGAATTTGATATAATTTTATTCTGTGATCGTTCTCATTTGAATAGTCTTTGTCTTGTTTCTGCTTTTGTGAATTTTCTATTTGTTAAAAGGTGACTAGCTTTCCTGAATATTATACCTTATACCAGTTGCGTCAAACTGGCGGCCCGCGGGCTGCATGCGGCCCTTTACATGCATCTTGGCGGCCCTCACAAAGGTTTCTATAGCCGTGGTATATCGAGAATTTTGTCTCTGTTGGTAATGCAAATTATTAAATGTGAGATTTTTTTTTTCAATTGGTATGATTAGATTGTTTATCCTATCACAATGGGTTTTTTTTTATTTTCGAATGTCAGCGACTATTTTTATCTTCCGTTTAATCATGTGATCATCCTTGGCAACTAAATAAGAACAAATGTAAAGTGAAAACGTTTGTAATTTTGTAATATTTTGCGTTAAAAATGCCGAATTCTACCCCATCTCATAAAACGAGAAAGGACGTGTGTTTCAAGGAAAGTGGAAATTACAGTACTTTTGTACCACTGTTAATGGAAAGATAAATACTACTGCATTTCGACGCCAAAAGAATATAATGTGAAAAGACATTATAAAACAAACCATCGCTCTTATAAATATGAAGGAGATATGCGTATTTCAAAAGTGAACGAATTCAAGGTTAAGTTAACACAGCAACAGAGTTGCTTTACAAAAATTCAGAAAGGCAACGTTAATACTGTTACGGCAAGCTTTGAACTCAGCAAAATGATCGCCATCAGTGGAAAATCTTACAGTGAAGGAAATTTCATAAAGCGTTATCTTGTAAAAACAGCTGAAATTGTATGTCCAGAGAAATTACATTTATTTCAAGACAATTCATTAAGCAGGAATACTGTTGCTGAACGGATTGATGAAATGGCAGGTGATATGAGTCGACAATTGAAGACTTTATCATCAAGTTTTGAAAAATTTTCCATTGCTCTGGATGAAACTGTTGACATAGATGGAATAGCACGACTGGCCGTTTTCATCAGGGCTTGTGATAATGAATTTCAAATTTATGAAGAACTAATTGAACTGGTCCCAATGCATGATACTACAACAAGCCAGGACATTTTTGAGAAAGTTGAACAGCTTCTCCATGAGTATGGCCTTGATTTGAGTAAACTTGTGTGGTTATCTACTGATGGTACTGCCAATATGGTTGGGACACATAATGGTGTTGCTGCCAAATTAGGTACAATAATAGAAAACATATATCCAATTCCAACATTGAAGCATTTACACTGTATAATTCATTAACAGAACTTATGTTCCAAGATTTTAAAATTAAATCATGTGTTGAGTTTTGTCACAAAACAGTGAACTATATCAGAGGTTGTGCCCTGCATCATCATCAGTTTAGACAGTTATTGGAAGATGTGAATAATCAGTTCACAAATGTCCCATTCTACACAGATGTTTGGTGGCTTTCATGTCACAAGGTACTGAACAAAAAATTTTTATTGTGACACGAAATTGTTTTTGGAGATGAAGGGTCAAAGCACAGATGAATTGAAAGATGAAAGCTGTCTCCAAGATGTAGCTTTTTCAGTGGATATTACTGCCCAATTAAGTGACCTTAATTTGAAATTACAAGGTAAAAATAAGCTCATCATTCAGTTATATGATGATATCAAGTGTTTCATTGCAAAATTAGCTTTATTGAAGTCCCAGTTGTCACATGAAAACTTGATTCATTTTCCTATGTGCAAGGAGTTGAAAAAAAACTGTCACTACTGAGTCTGTATTTATTTTTGCTAGGTACGACAATTACCTGGAATTGCTGCTAAAGGAATTTCAGCGAAGATTTCGTGATTTTTCATCTTGTGAAGATCAGTTTGCATTATTCTCGGCACCATTCCCTTTTGATGTTGTTCAGGCAGAGGAAAGTCTACAAATGGAACTACTGGAAATGCAGACTGACTCAGCACTCAAGGGAAAGTACCTAGA